ACCCAGTCACCCCACCCCCCACTCCAGCAACCCTCAGTTGGTTTCCTACGATTGATTAAGAATTCCTCCTATCCGTGAGATCATAGGATACAGGTCTCTCTGTTGGTCGCTTTGTTTTTGTTTTTTAGATTTTACTGGACAGAGACACAGCGAGAGAGGGAACGCAAGCAGAGGGAGTGGGAGAGGGAGAAGCGGGCTTCCCGCCGAGCAGGGAGCCCGATGCGGGGCTCGATTATCGGGACCCTGGCACCCTGGCACCCTGGCACCCTGGGATCATGACCTGAGCCGAAGGCAGACGCTTAATGACTGAGCCACCCAGTCGCCCCCCACTTTCCACCTTGACCGTGCCTAGTCGTCCACCCGTCTAGTCCTCTTGGCCGCGCCTGGTCTTGCCCTCGAATGTGTTCGTCTGGAGCACAGAGCTAGATCCAGAGAATGAGAGAATGAGATCGATGGACCCACGGACGGAAATCAAGTTTCTCTTTCCCTGAAATGACCTAGGACACTCCTCTTCTAGTCAGCTCCCATCCTGCTCCCCCACCCCCAACAACCTCTCATCGGACCTTCCCCTTTTGCCACCAGAAAGCTTTTCCACTCCTCCGCCTGGCCTGCGTTTGCTTGGCGTCTCTGCCAGACCCAGGCGGTGGTGGCCGACCGCAGACTCTCTTGCCCTCAAGAAATGATTCCCGCTCTCATGTGGGTGATCTTTTATCTCCACAGAGGTGATTAGTTTGGGGAACAAATAAAAGCACTCAGAATAAAAACCATGCCCAGTATCATGCACGCCCTCCTCCCCCTCCCCCCCTCCCCCTCCCCCTCCCCCCTCCCCCTTCCCCTTCCCCCCCTCCCCCCTTCCCCTCCCCCCTTGGCCCCCTTCCCCCTTCCCCCTTCCCCCTTCCCCTCCCCCCTTCCCCCTTCCCCTCCTCCCTTCCCCTCCTCCCTTCCCCTCCCCCCTTCCCCTCCTCCCTTCCCCTCCCCCCTTCCCCTCCTCCCTTCCCCTCCCCCCTTGGCCCCCTTCCCCTCCCCCTTCCCCCTTCTCCCTTCCCCTCCCCCCTTGGCCCCCTTCCCCTCCCCCTTCCCCCTTCCCCCTTCCCCCTTCCCCCTTCCCCCTTCTCCCTTCCCCTCCCCCCTTGGCCCCCTTCCCCTCCTCCCTTCCCCTCCTCCCTTCCCCTCCCCTCGTGGCCCCCTTCCCCTCCCCCCCCTTTGATGTCTACATGAACCGACAGACTGCATGCATGGCATGTATAGATGGATGGATGGATCGATGGATCGATGGATCGATGGATCGATCGATCCATGGATCGAACGGTGAAGAGAGCCAGGGTGAGGGTGAGGGTGAGGGTGAGGGTGAGGGTGAGGGTGAGGGTGAGGGTCCCGTCCGTCCCTCCCTCCTTCCCTATGTCCATCACATTGTTTCGTCACAGATTTTCGAAGTGGAGATACAATTCGCATGCCATATTTCGCATACTCTTAAAAGTGGGCCATTGGGTGGCCTTTTTTTCTTTTTTTTTAAGGTGGCTCACAAAGCTGCACAACCTTCACTGCAATTTCCAGAACATTTCCATCACCGCCAAAAGAAATAAACACCTCTACTACCCCTCCCCCCTTCCTGTCCGCGCCTCGCCCCCACCCGCCGTCACCGTCGCCCTCGCCGTCACCGTCGCCCTCGCCCTCACCCGGGCTCTCTTCACTGTTCTCCCCCAACAGGGAGTAGAAAGGGAAGTTAGAGGGAACATTCTTCCTCCCCTACACCTGCTGAACGCACATGGACACACACCGCAACCCTCCCCGCCAGGCGCGCGCACCCACCCACCCCCGCCCCGCCAAGCCCCGCCCCGCCCCGCCACGCCACGCCACGCCCCCCATCCCGGCCTTACGTGTACCTTACGTACCTCTGCACGGACTCGAGATTTGGCAATAGCCTTGATTGCCCTGCAATGTTTCCAAACCTCGGCGCTCCCCAACCTTCCCCACCCCGACCCCCGCCCCTTCGAAGAAGAACTAACCTAATTCGGGGAGCTTCCAGGTTGCTTGAACGCCTGAAATGGTGGGGACAGAGGCGTTCCTGGAGAGGGGTCACGGAACACGGAAGCTCTGCCCCCCTTCCCTTTGCCTCTGTTCCATCTGGAGTTTCCTCAGTTGTATCCTTTTAGGACACAGCGGTCATGTAAGAAATGAGAAAAAAAAGGACTGAAGGACTGAACCGGGCTAGACTGGTTTAAAATTCTTCACTAGCGTCCATGCCGAATACATTTCGACGACAGGGGCCTTCGCACGGCTTTTGGTGCACAGAAGACCGATGCACCGAAGCCTGCCGATCTCGGGACGTGTCCACGAGGGGAAAGAGTGTCAGCCTATCGGAAAAGAGAGTCGGTTAACGTAGATTGCAAAGGCATTCGTTCATCCCGAGAGACTTCCTCTCCATGATGGCGGGTGGCGCGAGATGGAAGAGTTGGCTTCCATGAAAAAGGGGCCCTTTCTTGAAGACCCTGCCCAGCTATCGGGGTTTTGTTGGTTTGTGTTTTGTCATCTGTGATAGGAAGGCATCTTCTTAGCCATCGGGAGGGAAACCTCAACAAATTCAGCCATTCAGATCACAAGGGATTTCTTGGGTTTGGTGGATCTGAGATCTGGTCTGCCTCCGACTGCTCCCCGAGATTGCCTTTATGCCGAGAATGGGATTCCTCATCAGACACACAGAAGTCCGGCTCCTTGCCACGGAGCTGGCTGCTCTATGGATGCCTTTAAAAAGGAAGCCTGCCTTTAATTCGGACGTCGGAACGTGATCGGTCGCTTTTTCATGGGGGGTTGGCCAATTAAATTTCCCCCGCCTTGGGCGCCTGGGTGGCTCAGTTGGTTAAGCGGCTGCCTTCGGCTCCGGTCATGATCCTGGAGTCCCTGGATCGAGTCCCGCATCGGGCTCCCTGCTCAGCAGGGAGTCTGCTTCTCCCTCTGACCCTCCCCCCTCTCATGTGCTCTCTCTCATTCATTCTCTCTCTCTCTCTCTCTCTCTCTCTCTCTGTCTCAAATAAATAAACAAACAAACAAACAAACAAATAAATAAATAAATAAAATCTTAAAAAAAAAAAATTCCCCCCGCCTTACAAAGCAGAGACTGGTGAAGGGTCCTCCAAGTGCCCTCTGGAAATCAAGAGCTTCTGTATCAAGAGGCTGGAAAACGCATCTTCCCCTTCTTCCTGGTGAATCCAATTCTAGGGGTTGATTCAAAGGAAATCATGTTTTAGATGCTAAAACGTAAAGCTTACTTTTGCAAAAATGTGCATCGCGGCATAGGGTTTAGGAATCCCTTGTGGCAGACCGACAACCGTGTGTCCCTCACGTCCCGGCACGTGTGCACCCTCACGTCCTATGACTTCGATGCTCCTGCTATCCAGAGGTAGGCTTGATTGCTCTGTCCCTTGATTTTGGACCGGGTCTTGGGACTTGTCTTGACCCAAAGAATAGAGCAGAAGTGACACTTGGCTGGTTTCACAGCCTACACCTGAAGAGGTGGTCTGCCGGCGTTCTCGACCTTCTTGGCATGCCGTCCTGAGACCTCCACGTAAGAAAGCCAGTCTAGCTGACTGGAGCATGAGAGGCATTGACAACAGAGGCAGCCCGGTGCTCGGCGGCACCGACTGCCAGACGTGTGAAAGTTGACCCTCTGGCCGAAAGCCACTGCTTGAGTGAGCCCGGCGTAAACCCGCAGAACCCAAGGGGCCACCCAGGGCAAGCACCAGGAAGTTATCGATAAAGAAATGCTGTTTCGAGCCATTGCGGTGTTAGGATGATGCACCCTGAGGATCAGCTAGCTGCGCAGCAGCGATAGATACCGTGCACACAGATACACACCACACAACACACCACACCACACCCCCCCCACACACACACGTGTGCAGAAAACCAAACCAACGAAACAAACCAAAACTCTGTAGAACCCTGCACCAAATGTTGAGGAAACAACGGCCCACCCTCACAAGAAACACCTGCACGCTACATGTACAATGCATAGGGAGCCTATACTTGCAAGTGCTTACTTGCATGGGAAACATTTCACGATAACATGAGTCTCAGATGGCCCAAGCGGGGTTCTTTTGACATGTCTGAATTGTGTACACAATTAGAGAAAGCCTGCTAGGAGACTGGGTGATCAGAAACTAGGAAGCTCTTTGGTTCCCTCAGTGAAGCCCCGACTTTTGGGGAGGAACCAACACTCAGGGAGATGCTCTGGTCTTCATTTGGTTGGTTGGTTGGTTGGTTGGTTGGTTGGTTGGTTGCTGCAGCTTTTGCTATCTTTGCATAAAACCGACCCTGTTTCCATTGGGAATGGAAAACAACTGACGGGTGGGATCTGTACACGGTAATGCTGCTTCGCAGTTGCATTTGTTTTACTAAAAGAGGGAGATTTGAACATTGGGTCTTTCGTGTCCTCTCCATTCATGTCCTCTCCACAAATAAGACTGAAACAAAGGCTAAAATTTGTTTGCATCTTGTTTGTGTCTATGTGTCCGTATGTGTTATACATGTGAGGTATTTCCTCCACCTCCGGGTGCTATTGCTAACATCCATTTGTAAAGGAGCTCTATTTAATGAGTTCTATTTTTATTTTATTTTATTTTATTTTATTTATTTTATTCTTTAAAGATTTTATTTATTTATTTGACAGAGAGAGACACAGCGAGAGAGGGAACACAAGCAGGCGGAGTGGGAGAGGGAGAAGCAGGCTTCCCGCCGAGCAGGGAGCCCGATGCAGGGGCTTGATCCCAGGACCCTCGGATCATGACCTGAGCTAAAGGCAGACGCTTAACCACTGAGCCATCCAGGTGCCCCGAGTTTTATTTTTATTAAAGATTCTATTTATGTCTTTGAAAGAAAGCGAGTGAGAGAGCACACGAGCTGGGGGTGGGGGGGCATTGGGAGAGGGAGAAGCAGACTCCCCGCGGAGCAGGGAGCCGGATGTGGGGCTCCATCCCAGGACCCCAGGATCATGATGTGAACGCAAGGCAGACACTTAACTGCCTGAGCCACACAGGTGCCCCTACTTAAAGAGTTTAGAGGCAGGTGCTCGTAAAAATCGGGCATGGTAAAACTCAGATAAGAATAAACCCAGTTTTTCAAGCTCACATGATCTGGGATGAAATTCCCTACATTCAGACTCTTATGTCACTCCACAATAAAGATGCCTCAAGGTAAGGGACCCAAGGGACGGCCCAGAGATAGACAAAAATTTAACACACCTGACCTTACCCCCACTTCCCAACAGTCAAAATAATGAAGAAGAGGAGGAAGACAGGCCGATGCTAGAAATCTGAAATCCACTCCTCCTCCTCCCCAAGTACAGGCACCAGAACCGATGCCCAACCCACTGGCTTCCGGAGGGCTGAAAAGCCACCACAGACAAAGCCTATTAAGCAGAAGGAGATGAAGAAAGGGGCGGAGGCGGAGGCGGAGGCGGAGGCGGAGGCGGAGGCGGAGGCGGAGGCGGAGGCGGAGGCGGAGGCGGAGGCGGAGGCGGAGGCGGAGGCGGAGGCGGAGGCGGAGAAGAAAAAAAAGAAAAGGTTCGTCCAAAACTGTAAATGTATATGTGCCCTGGGCCTTACCAATGGCTCCCTTGCCGCCTCCCCTGCCCCGTTTCTGCACCACTGGTGTGTGTGCCTGGAGTGCTCTACTCCCCTGCCGCCGTCTCAGCCGCCCTTCCCTACCCCCGCCCCCCCGCCCCCCCCCCCCCGGGTGCCATGGGCTCCCCTTTCTCCTCCTCCTCCTCCTCCTCCTCCCCACCCCCTTATCAAGGAGCAAAAGCCCTTGCCCTTGGGCCCAAGCCCTTGGGCCACCTCCTTATGAGGTTTAAATTGGAGCACCTCCCAAACTAGCAGGAAGGGGCCCGAGGGCTCCGCTGATCTTAGACCGCCCGCTTCAGACTTTCCCCAAGGAGTCTGATGGGGGAAAACAATCGATTGACTTTTTAGTGGACGCAGGTGCAACTTCTTTGGCGTTAAAGCCAATTCAAGGTTGTTGGTTTATTTTAAAAAGACGTGGTTTTGGAGCTATCAATGTCACACATAATACAAATAATCAACTTTGCGTTTCTTTCTTTCTTTCTTTCTTTCTTTCTTTCTTTCTTTCTTTCTTTCTTTCCCTTTTTCTTTCTTTCTTTCTTTCTTTCTTTCTTTCTTTCTTTCTTTCTTTCTTTCCTTTTCTTTCTTTTCTTTGTCATAAAAGCACTTGGATTCGGTTCTCCCTGCGTTACAAGCCGTTGGGTGGGCAGTGGAATGTGCCACGCTCCCGTCACAACAGTGAGCCTGTATTTGTGGTTATCAAAATATACCTCTCCATCACCTTTATAAAAACCAACCAACCAACCAACCACGTTTGGGTGCCTGGGTGGCTCAGTCGTTCAGCGTCTGCCTTCGGCTCAGGTCATGATCCCAGGGTCCTGGGATCGAGCCCCGCATTGGGCTCCCTGTTCATTGGGGAACCTTCTTTTCCCTCTGTCCCTTCCCCTGCTTGTGTTCCCTCTCTCGCTGTGTCTCTCTCTGTCAAATAAATAAAATTTATGAAATATATTCATACATTTGCCAATCTAAAGAATTCTGGTGTAATAGAGAGTGCGCCATTGGTTACTACTAACGTTTCACCAGAGACTGAGATTTCTAAGAATTAAAATTCTGCCACATGGAATTGGGACTGCTACAAAATGATAACAAAAACAACTCCGTGTGTGGGAAGGTAGGAGACGTGTAAAAGAGGTACAAGAAATGAGAAAACATTTTTTTTGTTGAGGGAAAAGGAAGTAATGGTGTACTGAAACGGGACTGGGTACTTAAAGAAAGAAAACTTTAAGACCGAGTCTGAATGAAAAAGGAAATTGTGGAAGGGGTTTGTGAAGGAGAATTTTTGAAAAGGAATTTTATGCATGGTCAGGACTGACTGAGCTTGGGAGAAGGCAGTTTGAAAAGCACACTGGTGGAACTGGAGGGTATTATGTTGAGCGAAATAAGTCAAACAGAGAAAGACATGTATCCTATGATCTCACGGATAGGAGGAATTCTTAATCGCAGGAAACAAGCTGAGGGTTGCTGGAGTGGGGGGTGGGGTGGGAGGGATGGGGTGACTGGCTGATAGACACTGGGGAGGGTAGGTGCTCTGGCAAGCGCTGTGAATTGTGCAAGACTGTTGAATCTCAGATCTGTACCTCTGAAACAAATAACGCAATCTATGTGAAGAAGAAAAAAAAAATAGAAGAAGGTAGCGGGAGGGGACGAATGAAGCGGGGGAAATCGGAGGGGCGGACGAACCATGAGAGACGATGGACTCTGAACAACAAACTGAGGGTTCTAGAGGGGAGGGGGGTGGGAGGATGGGTTAGCCTGGTGGTGGGTATTGAGGAGGGCCCATTCTGCATGGAGCACTGGGTGTTGTGCACAAACAATGAATCATGGAACACCACATCTAAAACTAATGATGTAATGTAGGGGATTAACATAAGAATAAAAAAAAGAAGAAGAAAAGCACACTGGTATAAGATTGAGATTTGGGTTTTCTATGTTAAAATGACAAGGTTTTCTTGGATTGTTAGTGTACTCTTTTTTTCTTTCTTAAGATTGTATTTATTTATTTGACAGAGAGAGACACAGCGAGAGAGGGAACACAAGCAGGGGGAGCGGGAGAGGGAGAAGCAGGCTCCCGGCCAAGCAGAGAGCCCGATGTGGGGCTCGATCCCAAGACCCTGGGATCATGACCTGAGCCGAAGGCCGACAGACGCTTGACGACTGAGCCACCCAGGCGCTCCTCCGAGATTTTATTTTTTAAATAATCTCTACACTGAACGTGGGGCTCGAACTCACAACCCTGAGATCAAGAGTCGTGCTCTCTACCGACTGAGCCAGCCAGGTGCCCCTGGACTGTCATCTCGAAGAGACACATGCGTAGACTCAGATATGGTGAGACTGCTTTAAGAAAGTCAGATTGACTTTATGGAGCCAGTAAAGCCCCTTAGAAATGTTGGCCTGATAACCTTGCTTAGAGAGGTCCCCTCAACCTTACCAGGTGAGTGAAGAGTACCACCTCCTGGCAGATGCAGGAACTTCAGGAAATTTGGAGGCCCTCAAAGAAGAGAGGAATTCACCCAAATCTACAAGTCTTTTTTTTTTTTGTAATTTTTTTTATTCTTATGTTAATCCCCGTACATCACATCATTAGTTTTAGATGTAGTGTTCCATGATTCATTGTTTGTGCACAACACCCAGTGCTCCATGCAGAATGCGCCCTCCTCAATACCCACCACCAGGCTAACCCATCCTCCCACCCCCCTCCCCTCTAGAACCCTCAGTTTGTTTTTCAGAGTCCATCGTCTCTCCTGGTTCGTCTACCCCTCCGCAAATCTACAAGTCTTGCAGGCGAATCTGATGGCCAATATTTGGCTTGGTTCTCGGCTTTAAAAAGGCAGTTAAAGGATCAATCTAAAATTCCTTGTAAAAAGCTCCATCAAAGCAGATTTAAAAGAAGGAAAGGAAAAAGAAAAGAGAAGAAAGACCCCATATATGGTCAATTGCTATTCTTGCTGTCCCTACGTAGATGATTGGGCCAAGTTTGTTAAAACTGGACTTGTTTTACAAACAAATTAATCTTCTTTTGGCTATCTTTGACAGGAATGAAGGTGACTTTAGAGAGAAAGATTACATTTCAATAACACACTTTTGTGAGTGTTAGATTAATTATCTTTGAACGTTTATTGTTTGCCTATAAAACTGGACTGGATCCTGGATCCTTCTGGTTTCCTTGAGTATCTGACTGTGACTCTTCAAACTAAGGTTTCCAACATTCTCCCATTCTCTCTCTTTTTTTTAATTAATTTATTTTTTTATTCTTAGGTTAATCCCCATACATTACATCATTAGTTTTAGATGAAGTATTCCATGATTCATTGTTTGTGCATAACACCCAGTGCTCCATGCAGAATGGGCCCTCCTCAATACCCACCACCAGGCTAACCCATCCTCCCACCCCCCTCCCCTCTAGAACCCTCAGTTTGTTGTTCAGAGTCCATCGTCTCTCATGGTTCGTCCGCCCCTCCGATTTCCCCCCGCTTCATTCGTCCCCTCCCGCTACCTCCTCCTCCTCCTCCTCCTTCTTCCTCCTCCTCCTCCTCTTCTTCTTCTTCTTCTTCTTTTCTCCTTCTTCTTCTTCTTCTTCTTCTTCTTCTTCTTCTTCTTCTTCTTCTTCTTCTTCTTCTTCTTCTTCTTCTTCTTCTTCTCCTTCTCTCCTTCTCCTTCTTCTTCTTCTTCTTCTTCTTCTTCTTCTTCTTCTTCTTCTTCTTCTTCTTCTTCTTCTCCTTCTTCTTCTTCTTCTTCTTCTTCTTCTTCTTCTTCTTCTTCTTCTTCTTCTCTCCTTCTTCTTCTTCTTCTCTCCTTCTTCTTCTTCTTCTTCTTCTTCTTTTCTTCTTCTTCTTCTTCTCTCCTTCTTCTTCTTCTTCTTCTTCTTCTTCTTTTCTTCTTCTTCTTTTCTTCTCCTTCTTCTTTTCTTCTTCTTTTCGTCTTCTTCTTTTCTTCTCCTTCTTCTTTTCTCCTCCTCCTTTTCTCCTCCTCCTCCTCCTCCTCCTCCTCCTTCTTCTTCTTCTTCTTTTTTTCCCCTTAACATATATTGCATTATTTGTTTCAGAACATTCTCCCATTCTCTTATCTTACAATCATTAAGAACTAAAACTGTCCTTTTTCCTGAAGTCTGGCAAATGAAAGCTGGACAACTTGAAATAAATTTCAGGGAAATGACCACAATAACTCATATATAGACAATCTTTGTGCCTGTTGCTCTATGAGTCACTCAAAATGAGACATTTGAACTATACGCCAGAAAAATTAGTCAGATTGCCCCTGCCCACTCCCACTCTATTGGAGGATGCTTCAAGCCTGACATCTAGAGACCTTCTCACTGGCAGCCCTCTGGACTTAGACACCAGGTGTATCCCTTGTTCCAACCATTAACCATGTTTTCCTTTTGTTTCCATAGAAATGCCTCTTATTAACTACAAGATCACTTGCTGAATGAGGCAGAGTCTATGATCCTTAATTCCACCTTGCTGCACCTGTATTAACTCCTCTTTGGAAAATAAGAACCCATATAAATAGGGGCACCTGGCTGGCTCAGCTGGTAGAACATACGACTCTAGATCTCGGGGTTGTGAGTTCGAGCCCCACATTGAGTGTAGAGATTACTTAATAGAAATCTTTAAAGAAAAAAAAAAATAAAAAAGAACCCATGTAAATAAAATCAAACACTAAGCTACTTGGCTACCAGAAGCCCTTCACCACCACAACCTACCGCCCCCCCCCCAGGGGAGGGGCTCAGACTAATTTACTGATCTGTATTCTTGGATACCCACCGATATCAGATCAATTTGAGAGAGAATGAGAGAATTGGGTTTGACTCTACTGTTACTATTCCTTAGACTACACTTGGGGATAAAATCAATGGTGTCATGTAGTCCCAAACCATGTAGAAAAATAACCAAGTTCTCAGATAAGGAACTATCTCTGAGACCCCCTCCATTAGCACAAGGGACCAAAAATTGCGACCTGCAGTGTCTCAGATCCTTCCATTCCAAAGCCTCTACTGCACCCTAATTCAGCTTGAAGCAGTTAAATAAAGAAGGCAGACCTCTGCCCATGTGTCATAGAAATGGAATGCAGGATGGACAAGGGGAAATTTTAACAGGGAAAAATGTAGCATGTCTGACTCCCTGTTATTTTTATTCCCTTTTAACCTGTAGGTTAAAAACTTCTGTTTAGCCCTGAACATAGCCATGTTACAGCTAAGATTTACAGAAACTGTCGTTTACCCAAAACCTACCTCCCCTGAGGAGATGAAAGAATAGCCACAGCCATCATCATCCCAATTCCCTAAGACTGAGGAATGATCCTCACTTGGTGGGGGTGGGGGTGGGGGTGGGGGTGGGGATTGAAACCGTGCCCCATAAGGTTAATGAGGTTGATGCTAGCAGAAAGCTTAAAGCTGGTTTTTCAGGGAACTGTTTCCCCCTAGTCAGCTATTGTGTCTTTTCAGGCCCTGCTACCAAATACTGGCTGTCTCTGCAGAAGTCTGGACTCAAGGTCAACTGATAATGGCTGCAGCCTATGAAGAAGCGAGGTCCTGATTCCTTACCTGAGAAAAGGAGCCTAAGACCCCATCCAGGTTGTACCAGCTCTCAGAGCATGCCCACAGCCTCTTCTCCTTGTCCTCAGATAACCTCCTGACATCAGGGACTCAGTTTTGCCTCATTCAGATGTCAGGTCTCCACCCCGAAGTAAACATGGGAATCTATGGTACATATGTTTCCTGAATATACGTGCTCCAACTTTCGCCATGAATAATCATAAATGTCCCTGCCCTTTTCCTTTTTGAAGTTTGATTGTTTGTTTTTATTTATTTATTTCAGAGAGAGAGACACACAGAGAGAGACAGAGACAGAGAGAGAAACACACAGAGAGAGAGAGAGACAGAGAGACAGAGAGACAGAGAGACAGAGAGACAGAGAGCTTGCACGCATGGGTGGGTGGAGGGGCAGAGGGAGAGGGAGAAGACTCCCCATTGAGCAGGGAGCCCCAGAGGGGTGGGGCTCGATCCCAGCACCCTGAGATTATGACCTGAGCTGAAGGCAGATGCTCAACCGGCAGCCACCCAGGCGCCCCTCCATTCCATTTTTTTTTTTTAAAGAGATAAACATTACATACTTTATTTTTAAAAATTCATTCATTCATTCATTCATTCATTCATTCATTCATTCATTCATTTTTCATCATCTGTAGTCCCAGTGTAGGGCTTGAACTCAGGACCCTGACTGAGATCAAGAGTCATGTGCTGTTCTGACTGAGCCACCCAGGTGCTCCTTCTGTTCCATATTTTAAACAACCCTGGGATCATGGCTCAGAGTCACAGTTGGCCCAATGAGACTCACACTCACCCCTCTGTGCAGAGGTGCCATCTGTGGGGCTGGTTCCTGTTTGTCCATCTTCCTTCCTCCTCTTACTGGACAGGAAGGTGGTGTGCGAAAACAGCCAGTGACTACGTGGAATGAGACCGAGGATTTCCCTTGGGAAGCAGGTGGGAGAGGGAGGACAGGTCGATGGATAATCAATAAACTGTTTTTTTTTTTTTTTTTTAAGATTGTATTTATTTATTTATTTGACAGAGAGAGACACAGCGAGAGAGGGAACACAAGCAGGGGGAGTGGGAGAGGGAGAAGCGGGCTTCCCGCGGAGCAGGGAGCCCGATGCGGAGCTCGATCCCAGGACCCTGGGATCATGACCTGAGCCGAAGGCACATGCTTAATGACTGAGCCACCCAGGTGCCCCAACAATCAATAAACTGTTAATGTTGATTTAGAGGAGTGTGCTTGCTGGGCCCATAACTCGGTGGATGAGTTAGAACGGTCCCTGTCAGGCCTCCCTTAGCCCTTAGCCCTTAGCCCTTATCACTCCATGCTTGTGTTTGGCCTCTGACCGCTAAGATACCACCATCATGTGTTCAAGGTCCTCCTCAGACTCAGCCAGCCACACCATGCCACACCCTCCTACCTGCACACCCATCCCTGGAAGGCAGTATAGTAAGACATCATCCCCCACATTCATGATTCCCAAAGGGTTTACTGGAGTTTCGTGGGTTAGGAAAAGGAGGGGACTCTTTTTGCCCCCAGATGAGGTGAGCTCTTCAGACACCCTCTTTCCCCTTCCCCTCCTCCCTCCCTCCCTTCCCTCCCTCCCTCCCTCCCTCCCTCCCTCCCTCCCTCCCTCCCTTCCGTCCCTCCCTCCCTCCCTCCCTCATCTCTCTCCGAAGTTTGCAAGCTGCAGCCTAAGGGTTAGGGGGAGTTGAGGAAAGCCATTGAATGGAGGGAAGCTCCAGGCTCTGACTTTAACAGAAAGCTTTCTGCATTTGAATGAAGCGATTGAATGAGGCCCATTAGAATGGATCACCCTGAACGTCCCATCAGCCGCCCCAGCCCCAGCCCCAGCCCCCCCATCCCCCCCCAACTGAAGTCCTCTGGTCGAATTGGAACAGTAGGCTGGGGGGGGGGGGGGGGGCTGTCCATCCTAAGTTGGTAACTAGGCCCCTGGTCCATAGGGAAAAAATCACGCACGGGTACAGATGAGTTGGTAGCTCAGGCAAAGTGGTCGAAGTGTTGGCAAGGTTTCCGTGGATGAGGGGAGATTTGTTCTGGGACCACCCTCCCATATACATCTCTGGCTGAGAAGAGGACAGGGGAGCCCTGTGGGGGTGGGGGTGGGGGTGGGGGTGGGGGGGCGGGACCCAGATCTGGAGCTCGGAGTGGACTATAGCCGCTGCCTGCCCGGGTGTGTGTGCCTGGGGGGCGGGGGGGGGGGCGCTGAGGGATAAGGGCTGAGGGTGGTGGGGTCTGCTCACGCTGACTCCTGCAACTCAATTCATCCTGGGAACCTTCTGTTGTTTCTGCTGAGGTGCCAGGTGCTGTGATGACCAAAGCTAAACTCCTCTCTTTGCCTAGTTCTTAAAAGGCCTGATCCTCCTGTTATCTTGTTAAATGGACCGACCCCTGCACCCTCCCATCCTGCCAGACCCCTTGTGCAAATACTTCCACTTGAAGAGTTCTTTCTCTGAATCTAGAAAATAAACAGACAACACCCACCAGCCACACCGACCCCATTGCCACAAATACCTAGCAAAGACAAATCTAGCTGGTCTCCTTCTGCCTCAAGGCACTTTAGAGAGTCACTCTCTCAGACACACCTTAGGCTCAATTACAGGCTGCTGTCTCCCTTTCTCTGGCACAATTCCATCCCTGGAGGAGCCCCATATCGCATCTGCAGCCGTGAGCTGGAGACAGTATGCTCAAGTGACCGGGTGGTAGCACCGTAACTTTGAAATGACCTATACCCCAAGTCATCCATGAACATGGTCCCTGGAAATCTTTGACATTCACGTGCCTCTGATGAAATCCTTGCTTTGGAAACTCCAGCACCCATAGCCAATCTTGTCCATGTTCTGCTAACCTTTGCTCGCCCTCTGTTCGCCTGATATCTTGCCTGATTGTTTACAGAGAAATTAGATCCCATCCAGCAAGAGCTGAATCCGAGTCCTCTGCTCACCCCACGACGGAAAAGAATATGCACAGGCCTGCATCCCTCTTCTCCTTCTCCACCATGTCGGAAGAAAAGGTGGCCCTCCCTCCTCCCATCAGAACCCAAACCCGAGATAAGACTTAGATATAAAGGAAACCAGCATACTGTTTTGAACTCTATATACACTTGTAAAAAACGAGCAGCGGCAAGGAAACACACAAACCACCACCCCCCCCCACACACACACAGGTGCAAGGAGGGTGCGCTGACTCGCTGAATCTCCCCCTTTTCTCCCGAGAGGCATCCCCCCCATCCCCCGCCCCCCCCCGAAGATGTCCTCCCTATGCCGGAAGGGGAGTGAGTGACGTTCTTTTCTTCCTTTTTTTTTTTTTTTAAATTATTCTTTTTAAAAGACTTTTATTTATTTGAGAGGAGGGGTGGGGGGGAGGGAGGGGGGAGGGAGGGAGAGAGAGAGAGAGAGAGAGAGATTGAGAGAGAGAGAAGCAGAGTCTCCGCCGAGCAGGGAGCCCGATGTGGGGCTGGATCCCCGGACCCTGAGCTCAGGGCCTGAGCCGAAGGCAGGCGGACGGTTCACGGATTGAGCCAGCCAGGCGCCCCAGCTTTCTTGTTTCTTTGTCTGCCTGCTTGCCTGCGTGTTGGGTCTGTGGATGTCTGATGCCTGCCCTCTGATTTCGTGGGGAGGTGGGCCGTCTTTTTCCTCCTTCCAATGGCCTTTGCGCATTTGTCAAACTTCTGTCGGGCTTGGGCCTATCTGTTTGGGTATCTGTGGCGTTCCATCCACCGACCTGTCTCTTTTGTCTGCCAACATCACAGGGTCTCTATCGCCTCTATACATAAGCATGAAACGGGCCCGGAGAGGACGACTTTGTTTCCTGAGTTTTGTTTTGTTTTCTTCGAAATCACCATAGCGATTCTAATTCCTTTTGCCTGTCTGCTTGTGTATGTAATCTGTACACCCATCCAGTGCGGTGCTGGAACTCACGACGCCCGCCGATCAAGAGTCGCGGTCGCGTGGGCCTCCTCCGACCGAGCCAGCCAGGTGCCCTGAAATACGTGTACTTGAAAAACCAATGTGAAGCCTGCACCCGTGAACTTTTTTTTTTAAAGATTTTATTTATTTATTTGAGACAGAGAGAATGAGAGAGACAGAGAGCACATGAGAGGGGGGAAGGGTCAGAGGGAGAAGCAGACTCCCTGCCGAGCAGGGAGCCCGATGCGGGACTCGATCCCGGGACTCCGGGATCATGACCTGAGCCGAAGGCAGTCGCTTAACCAACTGAGCCACCCAGGCGCCCTTTTTTTTCTTTTCTTTTCTTTTTTTTTTTTAATAGATGCACCCGTGAAGTGTTTACTGCGAAACCTTCTTTTGATCGTCGCACTCTTGAGTGGAGGCCGTACCAGTAAAGAACGTAGTTTAGCCAACTCAGGAAGAGATCAGCTTTAAAGGAAAACCTTCTTTTCGAGTTTGTGATGTCTGGTCCTTTCTCTCAACTCGATCGATGTCCAGCCTTCAGAGCCACATTATTTGCTTGGTCTCTCTCTCTCTCTCTCTCTCTCTCTCTCTCTCTCTCTCTCGTCTGTGTTTCCTCGTGTACTTTCCTGATGCTCAGGATTTATGGTTTAGAGAGAACAGTTTTCAGCCTGGTGTGTGTGTGTGTGGGGGGGGATGTTGTGAAGTGGGATCAGGGATTCACGCGGGTAAGGAGGAGGCAAGGAGAAAGGCTTGGTTGGGAAGGAAACCATTAAAGGTCCATGTTGAAATGGTGAAGTTTATTTTATTTATTTATTTATTTATTTATTTATTTATTTATTTATTTATTTATTTATTTATTTACTTTTTAAAGATTTTATTTATTTATTTGACAGAGAGAGACAGCGAGAGAGAGAACACAGGCAGGGGGAGTGGGAGAGGGAGAAGCAGGCCTCCCGCGGAGCAGGGAGCCCGATGTGGGGCTCGATCCCAGGGCCCTGGGCTCGTCACCTGAGCCGAAGGCGGACGCTTAACGACTGAGCCACCCCCCAGGTGCCCCGAAATGGTGAAGTTCAATGTAGTAAGAGTTACCTTTAATCAAAGGAATTCTTTTTTTTTTCTTTTATTTTATTCTTATGTTAATCCCCATACATTACATCATTAGTTTTAGATGAAGTGTTCCATGATTCATTGTTTGTGCACAACACCCACTGCTCCATGCAGAATGGGCCCTCCTCAATACCCACCACCAGGCTAACCCATCCTCCCACCCCCCTCCCCTCTAGAACCCTCAGTTTGTTGTTCAGAGTCCATCGTCTCTCATGGTTCGTCTACCCCTCTGATTTCCCCCCGCTTCATTCTTCCCCTCCTGCTACCTCCTCCTCCTCCTCCTCCTCCTCCTCCTCCTCCTTCTTCTTCTTCTTCTTTTTTTTTTCTTAACATAGATTGCATTATTATTTGTTTCAGAGGTACAGATCTGAGATTCAACAGTCTTGCACAATTCACAGCGCTTACCAGAGCACACACCCTCCCCAGTGTCCATCACCCAGTCACCCCATCCCTCCCACCCCACCCCCCACTCCAACAACACTCAGTTTGTTTCCTGCGATTAAGATAATCAAAGGAATTCTTGCTGGAGGTTGCTTCTCCCCTCTCCTCCCTGGATAGGGGAGTGAAGTTTTTTCGAGGTCCCTAGTGGACACAGAAAGCGTTCAAGTGCCCCTAGCACCTATGGATGGGGCTCTGTTGCCCTCTAGTGTCCTATCCTCTGCTACTGCTGCTCGTGGTTTCCTCTGACGTCGTATTCGTCACAGGTGTGTATCTTTGATGGTTAATGCTGCTCGGTGTCGGTTGTTTGCGTGTTTGTTTTTGAAAGCTTTTTGAGTGATCATCCAGCATGGTGCTGGAACTCACGACCCCTGCAGATCAAGAGTCGCAGTCGCGTGGGCCTCCTCCGACCGGAGCCAGTCAGGTGCCCTGAAATGCGCTTAGTTGAAACAGGAAGAAAGAAAAAACAAAAAACAAAACCCAAACCATTTTTTTTTTCCCCCTTTACGAGCCAGAGGAAGTTCTACGCCTTGTTTTTGTTTTACCCTTAATAGCATGGAACAGTTCTCCTCCTCCTCCTCCTCCTCCTCCTCCTCCTCCTTCTTCTTCTTCTCCATCATCATCATCATCATCATCAATATTTAACTCTTCTAGAGCACCTCCCCCGCCCACCCCGTACTAGTGTTGGACGGCACGGATGTCCCGGAACTGGATTTCTTTAAAGATATATATTTTTACGATTTTATTGATTTATTTGACAGAGGGAGACACAGCGAGAGAGGGAACACAAGCAGGGGGAGTGGGAGAGGGAGAAGCAGGCTTCCTGCCGAGCAGGGAGCCCGATGCGGGACTCGATCCCGGGACTCCGGGATCATGACCTGAGCCGAAGGCAGTCGCTTAACCAACTGAGCCACCCAGGCGCCCTCTTTTTTTTTTTTTCTTAACATAGATTGCATTATTTGTTTCAGAGGTACAGATCTGAGATTCAACAGTCTTGCACAATTCACAGCGCTTGCCAGAGCACCTACCCTCCCCAGTGTCTATCACCCAGTCACCCCATCCCTCCCACCCCACCCCCCACTCCAGCAACCCTCAGCTTGTTTCCTGCGATTAAGAATTCCTCCTATCCGTGAGATCATAGGATACATGTCTTTCTCTGTTTGACTTATTTCACTCAACATAATACCCTCCAGTTCCATCCACGTCGTTGCCAATGGCAAGATCTCATTCCTTTTGATGGTTGCATGATATTCCATTGTATGTATATATATACCACATCTTCTTTATCCATTCATCTGTCGATGGACATCTTGGCTCTTTCCACAGTTTGGCTATCGTGGATATTGCTGCTATAAACATCGGGGTGCACGTACCCCTTCGGATCCCTATTTTTGTATCTTTGGGGTAAATACCCAGTAGTGCAATTGCTGGATCATACGGCAGCTCTAGTTTCAACTTTTTGAGGAATCTCCATACAGTTTTCCAGAGTGGCTGCACCAGCTTGCATTCCCACCAACAGTGTAGGAGGGTTCCCCTTTCTCCGCATCCCCGCCAACATCTGTCATTTCCTGACTTGTTACTTTTAGCCATTCTGACTGGTGTGAGGTGGTATCTCATTGAGGTTTTTTTTTTTTTTTTTAAGATTTTATTTATTTATTTGAGAGAGAGAGAGAGACAGAAAGAGAGCATGAGAGGGGGGAGGGTCAGGAGGATCAGAGGGAGAAGCAGACTCCCCGCTGAGCAGGGAGCCCGATGCGGGACTCGATCCTGGGACTCCAGGATCATGACCCGAGCCGAAGGCGGTCGCTTAACCAACTGAGCCACCCAGGCGCCCTCATTGAGGTTTTGATTTGGATTTCCCTGATGCTGAGCGATATTGAGCACTTTTTCATGTGTCTGTTGGCCATTTGGATGTCTTCTTTGGAAAAATGTCTGTTCATGTCTTCTGCCCATTTCTTGATTGGATTCTTTGTTCTTTGGGTGTTGAGTTGGATGAGTTCTTTATAGATTTTGGATACGAGCCCTTTATCTGATATGTCATTTGCAAATATCTTCTCCCATTCTGTCGGTTGTCTTTTGGTTTTGTGGACTGTTTCCTTTGCTTTGCAAAAGCTTTTTATCTTGATGAAGTCCCAATAGTTCATTTTTGCCTTTGCTTCCCTTGCCTTTGGCGATGTTTCTAGGAAGAAGTTGCTTTGGCTGAGGTCAAAGAGGTTGCTGCCTGTGTTCTCCTTTAGGATTTGGATGGACTCCTGTCTCACATTGAGGTCTTTCAACCATTTGGAGTCTATTTTTGTGTGTGGTGTAAGGAAATGGTCCAGTTTCATTCTTCTGCATGTGGCTATCCAATTTTCCCAACACCATTTGTTGAAGAGACTGTCTTTGTTCCATTGGACATTCTTTCCTGCTTTGTCAAAGATGAGTTGACCATAGAGTTGAGGGTCCATTTCTGGGCTCTCTATTCTGCGGAACTGGATTTCTTGAGTGAAGGACTATTTTAACTCCCTTCCTCCCCATTCCGCGCCTGCCCCCGCCCCGCCCCCCGCCCCCGCACGCACCGCCCCGCCCCGCCCCCCGCCCCCGCACGCACCGCCCCGCCCCGCCCCCGCCCCCGCACGCACCGCGCGCCCCGCCCCCCGCCCCCGCACGCCCCGCCCCGCTTGTTGGCCTTGGACGTTATCGCGTACGTGCAGAGACGGATTTGATGTGCACCTTTCTGGGGGTGTGTGTCAATCCCCCCCCCCCCTTCCTGTCCTGAGCTTTCTTCGTATGCTTCAGAGAGACCTCCTCCTCCCCTTAAAATGATAGAAGAGAGAAGGTTCATCCGTGGTGGTTGTCGGAGTACTCGCTTGGTCTCGGTTTTACGGTCCTTGCCCGCCGAAATGTGTCTTAAGTCCTCCCGGAAGCCCGGGCGCCGCAGGTGTGCCGCTGTGGGAGGCCCGTGCCCCACGAGATCGGGCGGCCGGGCGGCCGGGCTGTGCGCCTTCGCGGGCCCGCGATCCGGATCTGCCTCGTTGTTGTTCGCGCCGGTTGTCGGGTGCCACCTGGCGGCCGCTTTTAGATAGCGTGTCCCCGCCGGAGTGTCAGCGATGTCGGCAAGGGATTGTATTTGGCCGCGGTTCCCGAGGCGGAGTACCGGGAGGCCGGCGACGCTAGCGAGATCGGCCCGCTGTCTCCGGGCCACCGGCGCGACCTCCGCTCGCGGGAGATTGAGCCTCCAGGTTTGTGGGCTGGTGGTGGCGCCGCCGCCTCGCTCCCGGAGAGCCACGCTAGGGTGGCCGCCTGGACGGGTCGACCAGCACCCGCCGGTGCCCCCTCCTCCGCCCGCGGGAATGGGAGAGGCTGCGTCGGGCGCCCGGACGCCATCCGGCCCGTGGCTCCGGTCGGCCGTTGGGCCTTCCGTGTCACGCTCGGGCGGTTGGGGACCGGCCTGAGCCTTGCGGGGAAGCCCATGGATGGCGCGACGGGCCCCGCCGCGGGCACGCGTGGGGTCCCGGTCATCGGACCCGATATTTTTTTTTTTTTTTAAGGTTTTTATTTATTTATTTATTTATTTGAGAGAGAGAGAATGAGAGACAGAGAGCATGAGAGGGAGGAGGGTCAGAGGGAGAAGCAGACTCCCCGCCGAGCAGGGAGCCCGATGCGGGACTCGATCCCGGGACTCCAGGATCATGACCCGAGCCGAAGGCAGTCGCTTAACCAACTGAGCCACCCAGGCGCCCCGGACCCGATATTCTTAACAAGTTTTCCGAGGCCCGCTGCGGAGGTGGGGACCCGACCGGGTCGGGCCGGGCCGGGCCGGGCCGCGAGGGCCCCAGGGGCCCGGCTGCGGTTCCCGTTGAGGTCCGGCCTTCGGGGGGACGCCTCCGCGGCATCGCCCCCTTTCCTCAGTCCCGGCCGGGAGTCGGGGACCGGCATGGGGCGGTCCTGAGGCCCGGGGAGGAGGGCGTCCGCAGGGGCCTCCACAGAACTTGGTGAGAATTTCTAAAGTCCCGATTTGGGGACGAAAGGCGGACCCGGGGGCGGGCCTATCCGGGCCGCTCCACCTCCCGCCAAGTCCCTACTCGCTGCCGGCTGCCACCACGTTCCGGGGGTCGACCAGATGGCCCGGGGGGGGGGGGGGGGGGGCGCGGGGGGGGCTCCGGGGGGAGACGGGGGCGATGGATTAGTGCTTGGGGCCCGTGGCCGGGACACGGTCCCAGGAGATCCCGGTGACCTGTGGCTAGGCCACGCCAGGCGGCGCGGCTATTTTCTCGCCCGAAATGAGCCCTTTTTGCCGCCAGGTAGGTGCTGGCACGTTATGTTTGGGCGATCCTCTCCTTAAGGGAGGTGGGCTTCTGGGCGTGTGGCGGGGCTCCGGGCTTGACAGGGATGCCAAGCCCGGCTCTGCCGTCGCTGGCCTGAGCCGTCCGCGTGGGCCTGTGCGCCGGCTCCTGTGCCTCCAGGTGGCCCAGGCCGTTGGTGCCGCCTCCGGTCTCCAGCACCCGAGGGCGGTTGTGGGCAGGTGGCGCGTGGGTCCTTTACCCTGTGTCCTCCACTCTGTGGGCACCCGGCTGTGGTCGTGACAACCTCCCGTCCCGCAAGGCTCCGTGCCGCGTGTCAGGCGTTCCTCTCTCTCGGGTTGTCCGGCTGTTCCTGCCCTGGGGTTTTCGAGGGGGTGCCGGTGAGGCCGAAAAAAAACAAAACAAAACAGGCTCCCCCTCGGGTTGCTGTCCTCACCGGCTTCTCCCCTCCTCGGGCTCCTCTCGGCGCTTGTGTTTTGCCAGATCGATGTGGTGCTCTCGCGCTCTCCCGGGCCGGGCCTAAGCCGCGCCAGACGAGGGACGGACGTTCATGGCGAATGGGACCGCTCTTCTCGTTCTGCCCGCGGGCCCCTCGCTCCTTCGCCTCCGCCCGCCGTGGCGGTGAGGTGGGGGGTGCGGGGGGGGTGTGTGCAGGCTCCGGCCCGACCCCGCCTTCCCGTGTTCTGCCTGACGGCGCTCGCGGGCCCGGGGTCCCCCGACGCAGCGGACACTCTCGCTTGCCTTCCCTGGCTTCGTGTGGTGCGCGGTCCTCCCCGCCACGGGGAGGGCCGTCCCGGCGCCGCGCTGCTCACGCGCTTGGGCGTGCTGAGCGCGTTGTGCGCGTGGCCCTCCGTGGTGCCCCTGGAGCGCTCCAGGTCGTCTCAGGTGCCTGAGGCCGAGTCGGTAGCGTCGTTTCCCGTTCCCAGCGAGCCCCCTCCGTCGGGCCACCGCTGTCGGTGGCGTGTCCGAGGAGCGGGTGGTGGAGTCGGTAAGGGAGGCCCACCCCGCCCCCCCCCGTGGGACGCGGGTGCCTCGTCATCCCCCGCCGCAAGCTGTGCTGGTGGTGTTGTGGGGACTGGACTTGGTGGGGCGTGTGTGAGCCGGTTGCGGCGGGCCGAGCCCGCGCTCTGGCGCTTGGCCAGCCGAGGGGCTGCCGCCTTTTTTGCCTGGCATGCCGTGCTTTGTCTCTGCTCGTCGTTGCCTCGCCGGAGGCGCAAAACTCCCGGTTGGTCGGGGACGCGAGCATGGCGTGCGTGGCGTGGCGAAGGGCGGTCTCCTCCCGGGGTCCCGGCCGCGAGCGCTCAGGATTGCCTTGTGGTGCCTGTTCCTTACCGCGCGAATCCACCGCCCGCCCCCCGGAGCCCTTGGCTGTCAGGCCTTCGGAACGCCGTTCCGCGGGGCCCGGACGGGCGGGGGGGCACGATTTGGGTGGGGGCGATGCGCCCTCGGTGAGAAAGCCTTCTCTAGCGATCCGAGAGGGTGCCTTGGGGTACCGGAACCCCCCAGCCGCCGCCCCTCCTCTGCGCGTAGTGGCCACCGGTGCGGGGTGACTACCGTTGCGTGTTGGGCAGAACTTCCTCTCTGCGAGGGG